GGGGGGGGAGAAGAGGGAAGAGGCTGGGAAAGCCTGAGAAAAGGGGGAGGGGCCACGAGGGGAGGAGCCTTCTTCCTTCAAGATCCCCTTTCAACAAGTGCTTCTATCCAGAGAAGGAGCAGAGGAGAGAGGGACGAGTGCCTATTTAAAGAAAGGGGGACTCTGTGCCATCCAGTACCCGCTTGGCCCTCTCACTCCAGGGACGATGGGGAAAGGGGTAAGTAATCCTGGGGCAGTGGCAGAAATGCCAGGCAGGCACTGGTGGAGCTGGGCAGGCCAGGAAGTGGCCCAGAGCTGGTGTCCGCCCAAGAGGAAGGGCAGGGCACCTGGCTGGGCTGGGGGTGCAGCCGGGGGCCTGGGCAGAGTGGCCCCAAAGCTTCCCTCTCTTCTCTGGGAGTCGCCTGAGTATCCTGCCCACTCCTTCCAAACCTCTCTGTCTGCCAGCGTGATCGGATGTCACCAAACCCTGCTGGCAGGAGAGTCGCACTGACCCTCTCTGACAGGGTCGGGGGCAGAGATGCAAGCTGGAGGGGATGAGCAACCCTGGCTGCTGGACCCGTCCCCAGATCCAGGTCCTGGCCTCGCACGCAACCCGTCTCTCTGCAGGGCTCGGCTGCTGACGCTCTCCTAGCCAGCAGCTTCCTGCGCCCTTAGCAATTGGGAGGGGTGATGTTCGAAGCCCATCCAAGAGCACTTAGGGGTCTCCAGTCCGGGGCCATGGGACGGGACTCTCCCTCTCTGGACATGGGCACAGCTCCCTGGGGCAGAAAGTGCAAAAGGTGACCCGGAGCAGTTTCAGAGGAAAGGGGAAAGTGACGGTTGTGGCATGGAGGGTCTTTGGCTCTGTTCTCTTTTGATCGGTACCAGCTGGGAGGCAGCCTTGCCTTCGTGGGGAGGGGGCCCCACATCTTGTGCACGTGCCCAGGGTTGCAACATTTAAAAAAACAATTGAATCTTGATGCTGGGGAGGCTCTTAATTTCAAGCACTGTGATGGGGAGATTTTGAAATCTTCGCATCTTTCAAAAGCTGAACTTTTGGGCTAGGTGGACTTTTTCCCAAGCATTTCCCCCATAACCAGGTTTCAGAATTAGCCCCCCTTTTCTTACATGGGGCAAAAATCCTGATGACATCTGCTGGTGATGTTTGATCTCTGGTTTTGAAAGATTCCAGGGCCAGAAAAGAGGCTGAAAACCACAGTTGCGCATTGCCCCAATCTAGAGAAGAGCCCCACCCCTGGAGTGATGCCCCCGTTCTGGTCCCCCAAGCTCTACCTGGGAAGCGGTGGGGCTGGAGAAGGGGCAGAAAAGCAGCTGGGAAACAGCGAAGTAGCTGTGAGGAAAGTTTAAAAGTTTGGGAGTTTTCTGAGGAGAAGGATGAGGGAAAAAAGCCTGGTATGACAGGAATGGCAGAAAGGCTTCGCGCATGGAATTTGCTACCGCAGTGATGCTGGAATGCCCCCTAGATGGATGGCTTTACCGGAGGAGGAAACAGATTAACAGCACGTACATCTACCTGGAAAATGCCTCCATGCCAAGAGGCAGCCACTCCTCCGTGCAGATGGAGCTGAAAGGGGGCTCGGCGGGCAGACCTTGGTACAGGATAAGAAAGGGGCGCACCCAGCTCCCGCTGAGATGGGGAGGAAGTGCTGGGGCTTGGCAAACCAAGCTTGGCTGCCTGGACTGGCAAGGCCACGAAGCCGTTGGGGGCCCTGCACCACCTGGAAGGCGAGCGTCTTCCTCACCACAGAGGTGGCCCTACCTGCGCCCGGAGTCACGAAACGGGAGCAGCCCCACCCTTCGCTCCATCTCCGTGGGAGGAGGACCCAGGCAGGGTTGGGGGCTACATAAAATTGGTCACTGAACCTGATTTTTAGGAAAGGAGCAGCGAACAGACTTCCTTCGAGAGGAGCCAGCCATTGACGCTCAACAGCAGCTCCCCCAGCACAGGGCAGCACCAAATGTTCAGTCTGTGTGTTGATGTTTTCAGAAGTTTGGCAACATTGGGGGCATAGGGTTTCAGCCTCCAGATGCAGCTCCCGGCCCTTCCGGTGGTGTCCCTTAGAGTCAGAAATACCAGGACAATAATAGTCTGTCCCTGCAATCACGTTCCCAATCAGGGGTTGCCAAGCAGAACAAACTGTTCTGTTGCAACCATGGCGGAAAGGAGGCACGCCGAAGTGGCCGGGTGGGCACAGCTCAAGAGCAGAGAAGGCGCGTCCAGACCCCGGCCGTTCGCTCAGCCCCGCGTGCCTGTGTGTCTAGAGGTCCAGGGAAAGGGCCCCAAAGTTCTCATGCTTTGGGGCCCCTGAACCCCCACTGACTCAGGGCCCCCAAGGGTAAGCGGAGTCACCGCCCCACAGCAGGCAGGGGGGCCAGCAGGGTTTGCGCTCCCTGGCCCACCTTGTCAACAGCCTCTCCCCCTCCCAGACCGGGCGAGAGTCGGCACCCCCAGGGCCCACTGCCGAAAATGGCGGCGGGAAGAAGAAGCAGAAGGAGAAAGAACTGGATGAACTGAA